TGGGAGGAGCGCTGGGAGTGGCGGAGTCAGCTGAAAGTTTATAAAGTCTCGTTAGCCATTCGAACGCTTGGCATGGGAATGGGTGTAAGGCAGTCCCGGGTCTCCGAGTGTAAAAACACACGGCAGTGGGTTTAGGTAAACGCGTAAGGTGAAAGGATGTGACGATTCACCCTCAGCGGGGAGGAAGCACCTAAGGTTCGTTGGTGCTCGTGAACGAAATGAGCGGCAGAAATCAGAGGGTCTGCAGACAATCAGAATGTTTTATTGCTGACTAAGGGGAACTAGGGAGATGTAGCTTTAGCAGTAATTAACCCCAGGACTTTGTAGCCTGCTTAAGCTATACGTGCCTTGCATTGTTTTCCTGGAGTGATGGCCAACAATCAGAGGGTCTGTGGAGCAAGCCCTCTGTAACGACAGGAAACCTAATACCTGCCAAAACCAGCTGTGGGGTTTGGAATCAAGACAACAACATGAATGTGTGAAGTAAGAGTTCATCCAGAGGACAGGTGATGAAGACTATGGGATGACCATTGGGGGTCGCAGAAGACTCCCAACAACCACCGCCTCAATTGACTGTGCAGGCATGAAGGGAGCAGGCAGGAAAATGATTTTTGGGAAATAATAAACATATATGTATGAGTTCTCAGAAATACGGTGCATATGTATGAGTTGTTGGAAGTGTAAGCTGTCCCACCTGGAGCTGGGGTGTGTGTGTTGTTAGAAGGAGCGATCCCCCACGCACCCGGCGCTGTCGTTAAATGCTTGCTTAACACTGTTATGCTGTTGGGGCTATTTCTTTGAATCATTACAAACTTAGCATGGAGATGGGTGTAGTAGTCCCTGGCCTACTGTAGGAGCACACAGTAATGGGTTTCAGGTAAAGGGTTGATGTGAAAGGGAAGACAGAGAGAGAGAAAAGTGGTCACCAGTCATGGCTCCAGCATTGATCCAGCTGATGGAGGTCTCAGCTAATCCAGGGTCCCAGGGCATGTGCATGCCCAGGCTTTGTGGGGATACCTTTTTATAGGTAAGTTTCCCCACCCTGGAGATAAGTTTCTTGCTTCCTATGTGTGTCAACTGTCATGTGCAGTCCGTTCTAAACCTTTCTGGAAATGGGTCCAAGGGCTTTGGGAGTCTCTAGTGATCTTGATTCCCCCCACTACAATCCATGCTTGCTTCTCAACCTCATTCCTTGACTTGCACTATGCTGTGTTGTGTTCACTGTCAGGAGTCAGAAAAAGGACATTTGTCCTAGAAAAGTATTGCCCTACCTCTGTATGGTCCCTTCTCCAGCCACATCCTGTTCTCTCTCCTATGTGATTTCTTGCTGCTATGTGATTAAGAACTCAAAACCTGCTTTTCTGCAAGCCGTGGAGGTGTGAATTTTTACTCTGTCTCCTTTTCTTTTGTTTTTTAATGGTCTTTAAAATTGTCAAATAAAAATTATAGGTTGAAGTATTAATTGGACAATTTCAGGTTCTCTCTGAATAACTTCCTTCTTCATATGCAAATTATGATATTTTGCCTGGAAATATTTACATGTCACATTTTTAATGGTTTTTTTGGCACTGTTACAGTCAGGATCTTAGTTCCTTATTTTAGTTGCTTCTCTTTCTCAGAAAAGAATGGAAATGCGTAGTCATTGACTTCCTTATTAAATATTTTCCTACTTTTCTCTTTTGAATTACAGTAGATGATTTTAATGGCCTTTCCAATGTTTTTATAGCTTTGTAAACCTTTATAAAGAAAACACAATAAAGCATTTTTCCTCCATCTTTTTCATAATCTCCCAGTATTTAGTGCCTTCAGTTTAAAAACATGTGAACAGAGGGCCTTTTAGCATCTTTGTTCTGTTGTCTGTTTCTTCTTGTCTCTAAACATAGTGGTGAATTTGTATTATCCACGAAACTGCATTTGATATGTTATATTTTCACAGGGCTTATTAATTTAAGCCACAACTGTGGTGTAGTAGTACAACAACTAGTTGGCTTAGACTTCATTCCAGTATTTTTTCCAATTTAAAAGTATTTCCCCTCATAAAACCAGCATTTTTTTCCTTTAATAATAGTAATCTTTAGGAACTCAGCAGTGGTGTTGGTAAATAAAGTAGGCCAAAGCATGTGGAAAAATTAAGAGTAATTAAAATAGTCTATCATATATCAAAAGCAAAATTGACAGCTTCCATTTTCATGCTTCTCTGATTCATTTTTCATTATTCTGTTTCCTCTGCTACTGTTGAAGTGGGACAGAGTGACTTTTTCACATCTGTTTCAAATAATCACCTGCTGGTTCTTTTTATAACAAAGATGAATTTCAGTTTGTGTGTTCCTAACACTTTTCCATGGGAACGTATGGGATTTTAGTTTATGAGTTTACTTAATACTTGAAATAATCACATAATCGAACTTTTATTTCAAGAGTAAGTTCTTTAGGTACTGGGGAAAAAGCAGCTTAAATGTCTTTCATTTTACTCATTTCTTGAGTCCTAATGATGGTCCAAATAGACTACCAACATACATACAAACTACAGAAGAGGTGTTTCCCATGTCTCTGGCACAGGAGAGATTCAGAGAAATTTAGAAATTAAAAATTAGTAAATGCTGATCCTTCCCAGGCTGCCAGGATGTAGAGTGAGTCTGTTTTAGACAATTACTGTTTTAATCCTTGCTCAGTTTTCTTACAGTTTTAAGTAATCACTTACCTTAAGGCTAATGTAAGACATTTCTCAGGCCAGTAACACACATGTTCCTAAGTTGCAGAACAGGACTGTCATTTCAATTCCCTGACAACCCAGAACCATGCTCACTTTGGCAGATCATAGTGCCTTGCTGGTAAATTCACTGATCACTTTTAGTTTTCACAAACTCTGTAGTGCTCAGAAGATCTGTATGTGAGGTACTGGCACTCCCAATCTGGACGTCTAGAAGAGAGCAGTGTGTGAAACAAGTATTTAGTTTTTCAGGATCAGATAGGAATTTAGGAGTAAAACTAGTTAGTTCTTCCAGGAGATATCCTCCCTCAAAGTGTCTCTTAGTGTCTTACTATCACAGTCTTTATCTTCCACCTTCTATTAGAAGGGGACAAGTGTTTTGCCCAGACGGTAGCCTCATTTACTAGGTGTGTACTGATTAAATGCTGAATGAGTCACCCAGTATGAAGTACTATCATTATGTATTATCATGTAGATACACCAGAGGGCAGGATTTAGATAGCATAAATATCTTTATAGCTTACAGAAATTGAATTCAGCAACTAAATGATCCTTTTGGTACATTTACTGCAATCTGATTTTACAAAGGCATGTAATCATGACTTTACTTACATAGGGAATGAATAACAATGGCACTGAATTAAGATCTATATAGGCTCAGGAACACCAATTTTTAAAAGCTGTTTAAACTATTTACTTCAAATTGTGTCTTATTAGTGATGTCTCCTAGACAGAAAAAAAAATAAATCTACCATTCTTTATAGTAATTATTGTCATTTTTAATGAGTGAAGAGCACATTGGGGAAAAAATATAAATGTAAAGCAGTCAGTTTTGACTGATATCAGCCAAACTGATCCATAGTGTAAGTTCTTTGACATTTGACATTCATGTCCTGTAGAACAGTCACCTTCTTTCATACTTCTATAGATCTGTATTGCATTCACATTCTGTTGTGGCTTTCTAAGCATTGGAATCATAATTTCCTTTGTCTGTCTTCATACAGAAACTCTCTTTGTCAACTGTCTCTGTTTATTTTTATTTCTTCACTACCAGTTTTGAGTTGCAGTAGTGAGAATAGCAGGAAGTATGCAAAGAGGGCAGGTATGTACCAGGAAAGAGAGCAGATACATGACTATTTTTCTTAATAGAAAAGGTGATTTAG